CAGGATAATCCCAGTGAATCCTTTTAAGAAAATATACACCTCAGATCTTTTCGTATTCCAAAAAAATTATAATAATAAAATCCCCTATACTGCAAAGAAAAGGTACACGCAATAAATGCTGAGCTGTTTGTTTCATTGAGTCGTTAAGACATATTTTACCATCATTTACTGAAAGATAAGTCGGTGCAGTAATTATCTTGAAAGGCAAAGTGCAAGAGCAGCAGCAGAAGAATAAGAATCCCATCAAAGGTAAATAAGGATTAAATAGGCTTGATACTAGGCCTAATTAAAATAAACATATTTAACTAATACTATTTGAAGGGCCCATATTATGCTATTTACTGATCCATCTTATAATGTTGTTTCCTCATCAAAAATATAGCCATAGAGTTGTTTTTGTTTCATTCACACATGTTTAACTCATAAACTCTACATATTTAGGCTGAGTTTTTCTCTCAAACAGAAAACACTGCGGCCCACTTTGTGATGTCATGTGGTAATGCAGGAAGTTGGAAGGTGTTTATAAACATACACCTTCACGAGAATAATTTGGATAATTAAAGCCTTGGAATCTACTCAATAAAAGGTAGCTGATAACTCGAAAACTACTACTTCATGACATCAAATGGTGGAACAGAGAATTTTGAGCTTTAAAGATCTAAACAGACTAATAATAAAGGATTACTCAAACATGTGTGAATGAAACAAAACACAACTTTAGATGTGTTTTTGAGGAGGTGACAACATTATTACATGGCTTTAAACTCACAAGAGTCAATTTTGCATAATATAGGACCTTTAAGTTATTATAAAACTTCTTGCTTAATGGTTTACTTCAGCAAAGAACGTTCTGACAATTTTGATTTGTTTGGTCATTCAAAATAAGTTCTGTAATAAAAGGATTTTGGTAAAATTCTTTCTTGTACAGGGCAGTAGCGGCAGATTTTGTGTGGTCCACATTTCCTAGCAGAAGATTTGAATGGCATTTTCCAGTAGCATTTTCGTGTCCTCACAGTGCCACCTCCAGGGCCAAAATGCATTACTTTGTCCTGACTCAGAGTTGCCCCCACAGTCTTGGGAGGATAGGTCAACGCTCAGAATAAATTTCCCTGTGGGGACACTTAAGTATACCTTAGCAGTTAACCTTCACCTTTAAAAAGTAATTATTTTAATGAAGAGCCTCCTGTAGGCTACGTTACATCAGCATTATGATTTCCGGTGCTGTGCCTTCATAGTCAGTTTAATTTTTAAGTGTGTTGGATAAAATGTCTTGTGGCTAAAACATATTAAATCAGCAGTAAGGAGAACTGACTGTAGACCCAAAATCTCTAAATTGAAATAATAAATTCACAATTATAGACTGAAATAAGTGTTCTAACAATATTACATGCAGCTTCTGGTACTTCATTGCTATGCTGCGTAACGACTATCGGACACTAGGGGCTCCCTGACTGCCCCGGAGCAGACCATTTCATGAAACAGAAACGGTCTCAAATCACAATTCAGTGATTTTCCAACCATGTTTGAAAATTCCCTTCAATGCTTTACATATCAGGCCTGTTTCTCTTTGCACCTGTACGATATGACCAATGAGATTTGAGTGTGTGGAGTTCTGGTTTTCCCATTTAAAAATAGAAAATAAGAAATAGTCCCAGAGGCGTGATGGTTTGGCCAGTCTGGACTCGGTTTGCACAGACAGTAAATACAGAAGCCCAAATGCATCGGAATGAGCAACTCTGTCACTCCTCATATGTTTAAGATTGCAAACACACACCTACATTCACTAAGCTGGAGTTGGCTGAAGGAGAGAAACTCAAAATGCAAAATTATTATTGTTTATGCAGCAATTTTGAATCTCTTTCCCACCAAGTAGTCGAAAATGTGTTGCTTTCGAAGGTTTATATCTGGTGATACTATCAGTACCACCGCTGACTCAAATGGTGAATGTAAAAAAATATATATATAAATCTGTCTCATATTGATGAATTAGCATTTTCAATAAAATTTTAATAATAATAATAATAATAATAATACATGCTCTTAACAACAGTGGATTGGCTGTAATGACTGGGTCTTAAATTGATTCAGATAATTTTTAACCAACTTTTTATTTTGTTACAATTACAATTTTTGCGCATTTTCTATACCCACTGGTAAGATTCTGGCGCTTCACATTTATTCTATCGGCAATATTAAAAGTGAGCATTGGTTTATCTATCTAAAACATGTTTATCTCGAAACTGTTATTATGTACTTCTGCATCATTCACTTCTCTTTCTTGTATTGATCGAAAAAGCTATAAACCTCAGATGAGCGTGGCCACTGGGAAAAGTCTAAGTGCCCTCTGTTTCCTGCTTTGTTTCTATGCTCACTTCATTGTGTATTCCCTCTTTCCATCATAAATGCCTTTTAAACCACTTGACTGGAAAAATTGACTCTGCGTGTCAATTTGGAAATGTCCCAGTCAAGGTTCCCTCATTTGTTTGGATCCGCAGATGCATTAGTTGTTAGCCCGCTCCTATCAGATTCTCACACACGCATGTGCTTGTTTTTCTTACCTCAAGCCAACCTCTAAATGTATTCTCCTGGTTTTCATCTGAGCATATCAATAAAAAGGCAAGGTCACAGAGCGCTCTCAAATGCAGCTCAAGATCGATGATATTCAGCTTTTGCGTTAAAGCGAGAATAATGTCATAAATCACTGCTTAGGTAGTGGAAAACATTCACATTTATATTTAGGAGTTTTCCCACCTTCACTGCTTCAAGTAAAGAGCCATAACATTAAACATTAACATATTTACCTCTTAAAGGTTCTATATGGTGGAAAAAATGACTCCTGTGAGCTTTTAGCCATGCTAGAATGTTGTTACCACATCAAAAAGATACCTGGAGTTGTGTTTTGTTTCATTCACACATGTTAGACTATAGAGGATTACTCAGTTTACATCTCCAAAGCTCAAAAGGCTCTGTTCCACCTTGTGATGTCATGGAGCTTTAGTTTTCAAGTTTAGGTTTTTTTTTACCTGTAGTTCAGTAGAGATGGGCAATTCCAGGGCTGAAATTATCCAAATGATTCCTCAATTGCTACATGACATCACAAGGTGGAGCAGAGTGTTTTCATTTTGAGAGAGTGTTAGTGTGTTAAACATGTGTGAATTAAACAAAACCCACCTCTGGGTATGTTGAAATGACCCAAAGCCAATTTTTTCACCCCATGCTCCTGTATCTAATCTTTTAATCATCAGTCTGAACGACACAGATCCGATCTTTTCGAATGCAACCCAGGCTACTTGGATATGTGCTCCTAAAACCAAGACATATCCGATCTTTTGACATGCGACTTCAGTCTGAACGGCCAGGTCACTTTCATCCCACCTACACATCATCAATAAGCAACAAACGTCACTATTCTGCACTGAAGTAGGTGGAAACTAGGCACTCACAAATGTACACAAACGTTCTCCTCATTAAATGAAAATTGTCTCTGAACTCTGTGTGGGTGAAACAGCGAAGCACAGAGAAATCCCACCACTCTTGGGTCCTTCCTACGGACATTGCTGCCTCTGCCCCACAAAACACCATGGCCAAAAACATTGTCCTTCTTCTAAATCTGCTCCTTAAAACAAATAAGCTATACATGTTCTGGCTCCAGTACGACATCAGCTTTAATACTGCCAGGTGTGTGGTGTCATCGTGTCCTCCAGTGCGCATGCGGAACACTTTTGGGGCATTTAAAGTTCACACTGGAGATCACATACAAGTCGCATTTAATTGTAAATGTGAACGACCTCGCAAAAACATCAGATTTCACAAAAAAACCTGAATTGAGCATTAAGCCCTGCAGTAGCCTACTTTTAAATTACGTTACAATCATTTAACAGTTTTTTGAACTTTGGAGTCTTTCTTGTTTGTTTGAAATTAATATTAAAAGCCATATTTATTTGTTTTGTATAAGACAAAATTGTAGTTGTTAAATGTGTTCAATGTAGTTGTTCATTTTGCCATATCTTCAAGCCCAAGCCAATGTTCTTCTATGAAACATCTTTCTCTATACATTACAATTTGAAGTTTAGACTGGTTGATTGACATATTACATTTATTCTCTGTTCTGTTTCTTCCATTAGGTGCCTGATATTTTACACCTCAGAAGTGACCGGGAGCCATCTTGATGGACAGAGCACCTGACCTTTCCGCTCCATAATGAATGTTTGGCACCTCTCGTGAACCACTGCAACTTCAGAGCTCCAGGTTCAGACTGATTGGACTGGCCTTTGGATAACACGGGACTGATATATGATTCAGCGTAGGACATACCCGCCAGTGTTTTGCACCACAATGCCATTTTGTAGGAATAATACTACTTTGAGGGCATATCCATAGCTATACAGAAAAGTCAGTTACCTCTGTCATGCAGGAATTTGCTACTCAAAATTGCCCAGTAACATTTTACCATAAATTTTCTGCAAGTGCTAATAATAACTCAAATTGACTACCATTTATTTCTGGACATACACATTTACTTTGCGAAGCCATGGTCCTCCAAGATGACAACTAGCTAGGCATAGCTAGTAACATTTTCCTCCCATATTGTAATCATAACATTTTGGGAAGAATTCAATAAATATATAAACCATTTTTACAACTTTTTGTCATGCATGAAATAGGATGCTAACATTTTGTTTGTGACCCAATGCTCCTTGAAAGCGACCTAACTAGCACAGTGTAACTAATCAATTTTTCTTTCAAATTAGTCCTGCTTTTATCCCTTCATTGCCATCAATAGCAACATTTAAAATCCAATTACTTATACAATGCAAAAGGTTACAAATAAACTACCATATCTTCATGACCCCATGTCATCTGAAGACGCTTGCTGATCAAGTGACACTAATCACTTTCGTAATCTTGCTCACATACTAGCTAACATGGCTAACAGGATGAATGCATGCCCCTGAGCGTAACCGTCCAGCGTCACCGTGGCTGGGTCCCTGTCCTCGGCCATGACCCGGCTGATGTTGGGCCGGACTCTGGAGCGCATCTGCAAAGGCGTGCTGCTGCTATGCCTGCTCCACTTCCTCATTATGATGATCCTGTATTTCGACGTGTACTCCCAGCGCTTTGACCTCTTTAGTCGCTTCAATAATGGACGCAACGGCTCCAGGAACAATATCAGCAGCAGCGGGCATCATTATTACTACTACAATCTGTCCAGGCCCAATGGGACGATGGCCAGTTTCTTAGCGACCGGAGAGCAGGTCGGAATAAGCACGCAGGCGGAGACCAATCAGACGCCTTCACCCAAACCTCTGCCCCCCTGCCCCGAGAACCCGCCTGGACTGGGTGAGTGGAAATTATTTTACCTTTTAACTCTGCCTCAGAGGTGGATGAAGTACTCACTTGTGTGACTTAAGTAAAACTACAGATACTGGGGCAAAAGATTACTGTAAAGTAAAACTATCAAATGAAAAAATCTACTTAGTAAAACTATTAAAGTACCTGTGTAAAATATGTACTTTCAAGAGTAAAAAGTAAAAGTATTTTGCAGAGATTTTTAGAACTATTAAAGCATCAAATGTGGTGATTTTGATGATTTTAAGGGATTCAGTCAGTTTTTTTGTGTGCGTGTGTGTATTAGGTTTGTTCAAAGTTGGGATATTAACTCAAATGAAATGGTCAGAAGTAAAACAGAAGTAAAAGCTAAAAGTATCAACTGTAAAATGTACTTATGTAAAATTTTTAGGTATCTGTACTTTACTTAAGTATCGGACTTTTACTTTTGTACTTTGTTATTTCTTTTTTTTTTTTACTATATGATTAGATTTGAGCTGTAGAAGGTTGAATTAATAACTTCTGTGATTCATTACAGATGCAAACTAAGTACTAAAGTGTTTCATTCTTCTCTTTATTTATTGCATTTTTTTATTGCAGTATTGCACATTTAGAATATTTTTTGTGGTTTAAATCTGCTCTCGGGTTATTGTGTCAGTGGCATAAATTACTTTCAGTATTATCGTCTATATTTAGTTCAATATATCGAACTTCAAAATTTGTTATCGTGACAGGCCTGCTTCTAACAAAAAAAAAGCTGTGGTTTTTCATATAGTTTCCTCTGGCTATTGTATTCCTTGTTATCTGTCTGCTATTATCCATGCTCTTGCACACAAAAAAATATCTGCTATTCCTGCTGCTAAAAGTAATTTGCAGCTTGGTATGATTGTAGTTGTGTAGAATTCACACACTTAAAGTCATATTTTGCATTGTGCTTTAGATCGCACCGGGTTACAATCTTTTTTCAGGGACTACTTTTCTGCATCTTTAATAGAATGTAAAAAGTGGATTTTTTATTATTGAAAATCCTAGTCTAGTTCTAATTTGACATGCCTTGAAATCTGTGGATAATATACATTCAGTGTTGTACTTGACTTGTATTGTGTAACTTTTCTGGTGAAGGGTCCATGGAGATGTTATTGCTTTGTCTGGATGTGTCACAACCTTTTTATCATCATGGAGACCAAACCAAGACCAAGTTACGGGTCAGATCTGTGGAGAGGTGACCCACGCTTACAGTCAGAATGCCTGTTTTTCTGGGTATTTTTGAGCTATAAAACCACCTGTTGATAAATATACAGCTGTTTAATGTCATACTGTGGAACATTCTAGGCAGAGGAGTGACATCTCCATAGAAACAAGCAGGTGACAGACCTCCAACCGAAAAGTTACATAGTACACCTTTAAGTGAGTTTATCTTTTCTAACTGAATTGAATGAAAAACACTTTCTTTTTTTTTTTTTTTTTTTACCAAACCAGGTAAGGACACCGTGCATACTTGTACCCTACTTATTTTCATGTGCATTATATTATAGCGTTTTTCTCACTTGACTTCCTTTAATAATGTATTCTCAATGACCACTAAAGCATTTTCAAGCATGTGTATTGATTGGAACTAACGATTCATACCACCATAATCTTTAGGATAATAGAATTTCAACACTGCATTTCAATTGTCCCAGGACAACACTTGCATATATTGAGCACGTGTTGATATTTCTTCCCCAGGCTACCACTAATTGTCTTTCTCTGCCTATTAGTTTGAACTGTTTGTCTATTCAGCCTGATTTGTTTAGTGTTAGTCGGTACAGACTTTGTAGCCTGTGCGATAAAACTGGGAGGATTTGCTCTCCATCGATTAATGTAATGAATAGTGAGGGTTAAGACCTTGATTGGATTCTGAAACTGGAGCATTCCTACGTTATATTGTGCATTTCCAGTCTGTGGCTAATTAGCGGAAGAGCAAGTGTATAGCTGTAATGTTGTTTTTCTGGGTCATAAAATGGATTTATTGTCAAAGATTTAGCGTCTGGTAGTTCAGCCTTATAGACTCGCAATGAAGCCATTAAAAGATCCAAGCGGACAGACATGCAAATACAGCAGCAAGGATGCCAACAATTTATAGACTTTTTCCCTTTTGTTAAGAGTATTTTTAAAGCTTATCTAATACTACTATGCTTTATTTGTTGGAAATGTCATACTTCAGAGCTCTAGAGTTGTGAGTGGGTAATAGCATTGTGAAATATTTATGCATTTTGCTTCTGCTTGAAAAACTTGACATGATCTGTTATGAAAAAATTATGTCAGAGAAAAGTAGATTTGAAGTGTTACTAGAAAGTTTTGCATCATCCACAAATCCCATAATCCTCTTTGGGTCCAGGTTCTTTATCAGTCCATCAATAGCGATGATTATGACGCGCTATGATGTGGTTTGACGTGGTTTGCAATTTGGACAATGTGGCAACCTTGAAAATATAGCGGCTACGATTAATTGGAATAATCGCAACTAGTCAACTATATTAAACTAATCGTTAGGATATTTTTATAATAGTGAGTGGTATCTGGACTATACAGACCCAAAAATACACGTCAAAAGACCCTTTTTTATAGCAAAATGACTAAATGTCAAGAAAAATAAAATAAAATAAAAAATTAAAGACATTTTCTGATTTTTTTTTTTTTTTTTTTACTTAAAGGTACACTGTAAATTTTCTCTCCACCACCTGCTTAACTCCATGTTCATTTGTCTTCCTGAAATGTTCTCCAGTATGGCATTTAATTTAAGTATCTCCATGGAAACAAGAAGGCCACATCATTATGCCAAGTTACAGGTCAGATCTGTGGAGAAGTGGACCCGCTCACAGAAATAATGCATATTTTGCAGTAGTTTTGAGAAATAAAAAACACCAGAAATACCAGATATAATACCAGATATAACTGTTTAATGTCATACTGTGGAACATCCCAGCTAAAGCAATAACATCTCCACAAGCAGGTGACGGACCCTCCACCAGAAAAGTTGCACAGTGCGCTTTTAACATAATAATTAAACAGTGCATGGATATTTTACAATTAGGACAAGTCATATTCACCTAAAGATTCACCAAATAAACAAAAACAAAACCCAGAGGATTGCACCCCAGGATCCTTTCTAAATATCAGAATTGCTATTACCTACTCTGCCACTGTACACCATAGCAAGAACAATCGTAGAATTATAGTATTTGTTATGCTTTTTGATGATATTTCAAATGGTTGTATAATTGTCCCATGCTCTAGTGTTTTACCGACTTTTTCGGTCCAGAGGTGCAGTTCATCTCAGCTCATTAGCATCAGTAGCCCTTAACTCAACAAACGAGAGGTTGATGGAGTCAGATTAAGCCTGGGGTTTACTAAATCTATAATTACACAGTGGACACCTCTCTCCCTGTGGCTGCTCACTCTGCTTGTCCCACTGCCGGATACCTGATTTAAAAACTCCAGCTACTGTTCATCCTTTGTTTATCTTTTAAATCGCCCTTCACTGGGTTTTAATATGAGGACTGCATAACAAGTGGGAAAAATATATCATCGAATTAGACTGTTGTTAACCAGGAGAGTGCAATCAAAGCGTAGTGAGATAATATTTAGTTTTTCTCGCTATGGTCACAGTCGTGTGGTAGTGATTAGCCAGCAGAGGACACATCGTGTAGAATGTACTGATGTAATTTTGTGTTATTATTTCTAGGGCTGGGCGATGAGGGAAAAAAAAGAAGGATATTTTTTTCCCCATGTTGCTTGATCTTAATTTTTGATTTGATCTGCTTCTATCTTATTGAAAACATAGTTCCGCATGCTCTGACTGATTAATATGCACTTGCCTTATCATCGAGGCCAAAGTTTAGATTGCGACTTCACTTAAAATTTTTGGCACAGCCCTACTTATTGCTGATATTTATTGGTATAAATCTATAAATTTGCATCAACTTTATCCGCTCTTTGAGTGAAGACAAAGTTAAGTGTTTTCCATTGGTGTAATATTAATTTTCCTAATAAACCACTAAACCTTTTCCTAGTGTTTTGATTAGTTGTAATGATCGATTCGCCAGGCTGGTGCCACCTAGTGCCTCCACTCAATTTCATTTCTCTCCAGCGACGAGGTCAGGAATTTGAATACACTAGACGGAAGTGCAAGTTTGTGCACCAGCCAATCAGTGAACGGCCATACATTCTCGAGACGGAAGATTTAAAGCTGGAACAAAGAGAATGTTTGGTGAATTTTATCAAGGGGAAAGACGTTATTGCCCTTCTTCCTACAGGATTTGGGAAAAGCTTAATATACCAGTTAGCCTCATTAGTGGCGCATTACATAAGTCACAACCAAATAGCAGTGACTGGTTAAATTAAAAAAAAGTACCCACCTACTGTTGAGGGAATGAATTCTAAAGCCAGACGGTTTCCACGAAGTGAAACCGGCTGATGAATCGATACTTTGACCTAACAGAATTTCAACATGTCTGCTTTCCAATTCTCCCTGGACAACACTTGCATATATTGAGCATCTCTTGGCAGTTCTTTTTTGCTGCTACCTTGTATGCCAACCAGTACCTACTATTATCTTTCTCAACCTTGTAGTTTGATCGTTTGTCTAGTCAGCCTCTAGTCTTTGTTGCAGTTAAGTCTGGTTTTGAGTAAAAATACCTAAACCTCTTCCCACACACTTCTTCCTCTTCCTTTTTGTAGAATGATTTTATTCTCAAACCTCTTTCTAGGACATATTTTTCACTTGCAATAGCACACTCATTTTGCTGTTTGCATGGGCACTGTAATTGGTACCTGAGCATTTCTTTTATATTATAAGACTCTGTAGGTGTGTAATACATTTGTAATCGTCCCAAATATGCCCACCAGCACTTTTGTCATGAAGTAAATACATGTTGCTTCTTATTTCTCCCCACACCTGCAGTATCTGTAAATGAGCTCTCAGAATGTAATCCCTCGCGAGTACTATTGTGGTGGTCAACACTTTCTCC